CGGGGTTCTGGGCGTGAGGTCTACGGTCGAAGCCCCGGTGGGGTCGGTGAAAACCCCAAAGCAAGATGATTTTTGTGCTTTATGGGTCTAAATAATGCTATAAAAGCAGATATGTTTGAAAACGTCTGTGTCTGGGTGGGTCTGCAGTGCATTAGTTGGGTTAGAGGACTTATTTGGGAAATTTGAATAGGGGGGTTCGCCAGAATAGAGGGGGGTTTGCTAGAAAATGGGGGTTCTCCCGAACCATAAAAATCCCCCTGGATACGGGCCTGTTCTGGCATTTAAAGAGGCTAATTCAGGGTGACAAATAATTATAAACTTTTCCGTATAATCATAGGTTGCATCTTTTGGTGGTATTACAATATTCATGCAGTATAACAATTTCTTGATAAAGTTTTTCTGAAATAAGGTAATTGACGTTTACACACGCTTTATCATCATTATTGTCCTACTCAACTGTGGCTGTTCTATATTAATGTCGCACTTGGAACTTAAAGTGTATAAACCGTTAAAATAGCACGAATTCCAACATAATCTAAACCACCAACCACCCCCACCTTCTGAGGCGCAGTTCTTGTCTTTATTTTGATCATTGTCCCTGTCGTATGTTGAGAAACTTGTCGATGATGCTTCAAAGAATGCGTGACCTAAATTTAAAAAAAAGTAAAAATATTAAACAATAAAAAGTGTTATTGTTTTGTAAACCCAACAAATCTGACCTACATTTTAGATTATTTAAACTAATTTGATCGTGTTTCAATTATCTCTATATTTTTTCTTCTTGCACTTGATATATATTTTCTTCAGAAAGGCTTCTGCAAATCTTTTCTTTTACATGATTAGTCCATTCAATAATGTTAGGTTTACTCAGGTGAGATGTCTGTGTATTTACTCCAATAACCAAACTATATACATGTTGGGCCACTGCAAAAAAGCAGTGGCGCCATTAAAAACGTTATAGTCTTAAAACAATTGTTTTTCGGTAGTCTATTCTTAGAGTGTTATCTGCTATTTCATCAACATCATAATAATAATTATTAATGATAAAAAATGTTGGTATGTGACACGGTCGGTAGCTGCCACGGAAAAAATGAAATTCGTTTATTATTAGGGATTTACCACTACTAAAAACTATTATTATTATTAGGAATTAGTCGAGAGTTTCATCGTGTCTAGCCTATTGTTGACTTCGCCGTGGTCTGCTGCTGGGCCGCTATTTCAAGCTGAAGTTCTACGAGCCTCTAGGCTGCAGGGTTAAAAAAATACAAATAAAAATAACAAATAAATAAAAATATATAAATAAATAAAAATCAATATATAAAAATCAATAAATAAAAATAAGTAAATAAAAATAAATAAAAAATAAAATCACAATAAATAAAAGTAAATAAAAATAAATTAAAATAAATCAAAATAATATAAAATAAATGAAAATATATAAATAAAACTAAATAAAAATAAATAAATCAAAATAAATCAAAAATTAATATAAATAAATAAAAAATAAATAAAAATAAATAAATAAAAATAAATAAAAATAAAAATAAATAAAAATAAGTAAAAATAAAAATGAATAAATAAAACAATTAAAAAAATAAATAAACAAACAAACAATAAAAAAACTATAGACCATAGGCTAGAAGTATTTAAGTAATACATAGTTACAGGGCTATAGGACTAAATTCTCGCATTTTGATGTGATTTTAATTTGATCTCAAGTTTTGATGTCAATTTCTCTATTTACTTTTAGTTGTGTTGTAAATGTTATGTTTTAACATATATTAGGCCTATGTTTTTAACTTTTGCTAATTCATACGAAATTCAGCCATGTGCTGCAGTTATGTAGCACAGCTCTTCGCGATACCAAAGAGTATAGATACGAAGATGAATAAATTCAAAGTTTATTAGGGGTTATTAGGTAGACCTAACTCCTGGTAGACATTTGTTTAATAGATTAATGTATCTATTAAGTGTATTGTAAATATTATTATGAATTAATTTAGTGTTTAATTTTTCAGTTCTTTCATAAGTTAATCAGTTAGTTATCTCGCTATTATGCCTTTCCATGCCTTGCTTAGGACGGTCTAGGTCTAGGCTAACGAGAGCCGTAAACAGCGAGATTTGTTAGGTTCGATGTGTGCATACATAGCTTTGCCTATCACCGAAATATTCCAACGCGATGTAGTGCAATTATCCCAGCTTTGAACATTTTCCCCACAAAAGACGCAACAAATCTGAGGCACGATCAGTCGATAATAGGACAATTCAGTGCAAAAGAAAGTAATGACGTCACCACTGATTTATAATTGTAAATTTCGGGAAATATTAAAAGAAAGTATGATACGGCAAAAATAGTGTACCGCATCAAACTATAATATGAAGGACGTTAATTATAGTACAAACCCTACTTACCATCGTCATTTAGGCCTATGGTATCTCCAACAAACAGTTTATAATTTTCACTCTCTCGAAGAATCTTAAACGAAGCATACGTTGCTGAAAATACGTCCTCTGTTGTTGTGTGTGCCTCTATCCGGAGATTAAATTGCCCTCCGGATGTTAACTTATATATAAATTCATTCCCTAACCAAAAGTCTGAATGAACATCACCAAAGCCGCGTCTGTATTCCTCCCATGTTCTGTTGAAGTTAAAGGAGCTATTTTGTCGTCTCTGCAACACCTGAAACGCAAAGTGTAGATGTTGAAAATGTAAGTAATAAACTGGAACAATTAGTATCTAAAACATAGGTACATTATTTGAGAACAGGCATACAAAATTATTGCCTTGAAATTTTAATTTAAAATAGTCTCAATATTATATTATTTATTATTACGACAACAGAAGGAGGGTTTAAGTCGCTGCCCATGTCAGGTATCCATCTTACCTACGACCCCTTCTACGACACTACGTAAGCAAGATCAAACACCCGTAGTGACTCGATAAGAAGCAGATTCATACAGAGAAATGCCTGTTTATACTTCAACGATAACGATAACGACAAAAAAGCTAAAAAGCGATTGTTCATATAGAAAACAAAAGAAATAAGAGAGGTTTGTACACTAGAACGATTCGATAACGATTTATCGTGTATACGATAACAAAATACTTTTAAAAATCAAATCAGATGACGTCATAATCATGGGAAACGATAAATTGTTGATTTTAATGTTTTTCCAAGATTATGACGTCATCTGATTTTATTTGTCAAAATATGTTGTTATCGCATAACTAATGAATAGTTATCGAACCGTTCTAGTGTACAAACTTCTCTTATTTCTTTTATTTTCTATATGAACATTTGCTTTTTAGATTTTTTATCGTTATCGTTGAAGTATAAACAGGCCTTTATTCTGAAGTAGGTCTTGTTCTTGTTGCTGTCTCTGTTGTTGTTGTTGCTGCTGCTGCTGTTTTTAATAACAATATTAAATGTTAAAAATATTACTAATAATAATGATAATAAACTTGGTCTATTACCAATATTATCAATGATATTATTAGTAATATTATTAATAATATATTTTATTTATATTATTCTTCTTATCGAATCAATACGTAGGGAGTGTGTATGATCTTGCTTACGTAGTGTGGTAGAAGGATTCGCAGGTAGGATGGATATCTGACATGGGCCGCGACGTAAACGCTCCTTCTGTGACCGGACAGGGGACTGGAAAATGGACCAGTACACCGGGGTAACCCCCTACTCTTCTTGAATGATGTAATGGGTTCTTTAAAGTGCACACGCGAGCCAATTGTGTACACTGGGCCTACGGTTTAGATTCCTTATCCGAGAAGACTTGTTCCACCACCGAACGTGACGTTCGGACCTCCCTATTATGGCTGAACCAGCGCCGATATATCACGGTTCCCCTGTCTTAACCGCTCGGTCAACCGACTTGCCCATTTTTTTTAATTTTTTTTTTTTTTTTTATTTATTTATTTTTTTATAAATTTTTTTTAATTTCCTTCACATCCAACAGCAAGTACACCTGCCACTTACAGGATGAGAATGATGCTTTATAAACTAAGTCTCTTTATGAGACTTAGGGAGTGGAGTTGGTTTTGGTCGTGAAAAACAGTCCTGCTGTGACAGGAATTGAACCCAGGACCATGGGATCAGAAGGCAAGCATCTTAACCACTAAGCTATTCAACTCCTGTCTCTTATACACATCTAGATGTGTATAAGAGACAGAATCGATATTCTCCACATGCGCTGATTACTAATATTCTATCTTCAAGACAGTTGAGCAATAAGATTATAATGGCTATTTTCAACGCCATTCGGAATGTAACCTGGGATGAGAAAATTAATTTTGGATTAAAATTCTCCATAATAATAATAATAACAACAACAACAACAACAACAACAACAACAACAACAACAACAACAACAACAGCAACAGCAACAGCAACAGCAACAGCAACAGCAACAGCAACAGCAACAGCAAC